GTGTGTGTGTGTGTGTGTGTGTGTGTGTGTGTGTGTGTGTGTGCAGGGGACGTGCGTACGTGTGAGCAGCCACAGGGCACATGCAGGCCTGTGGAGGGCGTGAAGGTTCGAGGCCAGCAGCCTCTTGGGAACGCAGGTGAGCACCTGCCTGCTGACCTGCCAGGCGCCACTCGCCATACCCACTGCCCGGCCCACTACCTCTCCTAGCTTCTGCACTACTCAAGCCGGCCTCGAGGTAGCCAGGCCTGGTCGTCTGCTGAGGCCCCAGCCTGCCCCTCCTGTTCCACGAGGACAGGCAGAGATTGTGAAGCCCCCAGCCCCGATACTCTGAGCTCTGTCCCTCACCCTCAAGGTGACCCTACTGGTGGCCTCTCTCCTGCTCCCCAGGATGGCATGGGCCAGGGCCCAGCTCCCACATGTGACTCACTTGGAGGGGGAGGCTCCCATCCCCCTGTCCCGTATGCGTCAGCCACCCTGTCCCCATCCCTGGGCTGCCTGCCCACCACCCGCCGAGCCTTGACGCAGCCAGGAGGGGATGAGGCCAAAAAGGCGCTGACAGCAGCACTTGGTCCCTGGCCCAGCTGCTCACCCACTCGAGGTGCAGGTGTGCGGAGAGGTGGGGGCAGCATGGGTTTAATCAGGCTGGGGAGGGTCCGGAGTCCAACAGGCAAGGTTATGCCCTTCCCCCTGCTCCCATGAGGGCCATTCTCTAACACACACGGCCCGAACACACCTGAGGGCTGCAGAGAGGGGCAGGGACAGAGACAGAGAGAACAGCAAGAATGCTCAGTCAGCCGGCCACGCAGGAAGAGAGAAACAAAGGGGAGAGAAACAAACAGGGAGAGAGAAACAAAGAACCACTGAGGCAGAGAGACCACCACAGTGAGAAGATGACAGATATGGGGGCAAAGGAGGGGACACAGGCACCTGCTGCCCACACCCCAGGGGCAAGGAGACAGGACACTGGGCCTGGGCCGAGCCCTGAATGCAGCCTGTGACCAGCCAGAGGGAGGGGGAGCGGCGGGAAGCAACTGCTGAAAAGCTGCGATCTGTGGTGGACAGCATCACACCCGGGCAGCCCGGGAGGCGCAAGGCCATGCAGGGAAAGAGAAGCCGGCGGCTGGCAGGTGGCGGCAGAGACCAGAGCTCCGGCTGCCAGGCTGTGTGATGTCCCCTCTGGTGGGGACATCCTTGGATGGAGAGGCGAGAGAAGAGCCAGGGAGACCAACGGGCACAGGCTGCTTGAGGACCAGAACCTCCAAGCCACTGGGCAAATGCCTCCCCTCGGCAGGTGACCCAGACAGGGGCGTGTCTACCCCAGGTGCCACAGGCCCCCTGTGGACACAGAATGCTAAAGCCTCCAAGCTGGAAAGCTGAAGGACCATGGCTCAGCCCCATCCCAGCCTGTTAGACAGGAAACTGAGGCCAGAACAGAGGAAAGGATATGATCAGGGTCCCTACATCGAGGCAAGAAGAGGGCAGGCACAGAACTCAAGGTAGCAGCAACAGACCCCTATCGGCAAAGCCTGAGTCCTCTCTGGGACCTACTGTCCTCTGACAAGGGCTCCCCTTGCCAACTAAGCCCGGAACACTGGCTGCGACCCTCGGTCCCCTCACCAGAGAAACAGGGTCAACACCCACCCCTCCCCACCGTGGCTGTGCAGGGACAGCAGCTACGCAGTTAGTGAGGCTTTTCTCGTCCCAACCCTCAGCATCCAAGGTTCGGGACTCCTGGACGCAGGTTCCAGGGCGCTCTAGGTCCCCACTACAGGCTCAGCTGGAGGGTACTCCCGGGGATCAGACACCCCAACCCCCCGCCTGGGCCAAGCAGGAAGATGGACAGAGCAAGGGGGGCCTTGTGTCAGGCCTGGCTGTGGGCGGATGGAGCCACAGGTCGGCTTCCAGAAGCAGGAAAGGGGCGGTTGGGTCTGGGTTCTGGGCTCCGCCTGGGAAATCCCGTTTGCGGCAGCTCGTAAGCCCTGGCAAGGCTCCTCCCTGGCCAGGCCTGCCAAGACTCCCACAGGTGCCGTCGCCGTCACTGCCCAGGACCGGGAGGACCGAGGATTCCTGGGGCCCGGCCAGAAGTTGCAGGTGGGCAGAAGAGCAGCACAAGGCACCAGGGCTGAGACTGGCTGCCACCACTCTGCCCTCGAGACAAAGCCCGCCACCCCCTCGGGCACACTCGGGCCTAGGGGCTGGGCGCGCTGGGTCTTGTCGCTGTTCTCACTTCACAGCGCTTCTTGGGCCGCTGCCCTGGGCTTCGGTTTCTCATCTGTCAAATGGGGTGTTAGGGCTTCACCTTGGAACTGCTGCTTGGTAAGAAAACCATTTGGAATTCAGGGGCACTGGGCTCCAGCCACAGGGGAGAGAGGGAATAAAGCACTAATACTGGAGGCAAAAGATCCTAGGTTTGAATGCTGAGCTGTACAGCACTGCCACACTAGCTAACCTCTCTGGGCTTCATCTGGGAGATAAAGGCAGGGTGCCTTTCCAGTGGGTCATTTGTGCCTGACGTTTTATGTTCCATGACTTGTATGTCAGCCCTCTATGGCTGGTGTATTGGGCTCATTTGACAGATGAGAAAACTAAGGCTTTTCCTCCCCCTGCATCCTCTGAAGAGCTTGGCTCATGGCAGCGACTGCACAAGCACAGGCCATGGGGTGGTGGTGCTTTCTCCTTCCTGTCAGAGGAAAGTGTGCAAGCGGCAACTGTTCACATGCTTCAGGAGACTATCAAGAAGTGCTTATTTCAGGCCACCTGTGCTCCCACCCCAGGCCCTTTGCACATGCCATGCTTTCTGCCTGGAATGCTCTCCCCCAGTGTCCTCACTACCTTGCTTCAGTCAGGTCTAGGAGCAACTGTTCCCCACTCCCACCCCTGCTGCCTCTGACACCAGATCTGTGCTTTCTTGTCACTTAGCCAACTTGACCAAGGCTACCTGGCCTCACTCAGTTATTTATTATCGCACCCTACTCCACCCCCAGCAGAGAAGCAAAGTAGGATTTAGCTTGCTCACCCATGTGACCCTGGGCCAGGGCTGGGACAAAATGTAGGACTGCCAGCTCGGGGCTGGAGACCAAGAAGAATGCCTGGAACAGAGCCAGGGTCAGGATGCTGGTGACCAGCAGGGGGGCCCCACCCGGATAGGATGCTGGTGCTGTACAAGACACAGACGAGGAAACTGAGGCTCAGAGAGGTCAAGGGACCTGCCCAAGGTCACGACGCCAGGACCCCGGGCCAGCCTGAGCTGACTGCAGGGATGACTTCCTACACTTGCAAGCTTCCAGCCATAGGGCCCTCAGTGCCTGCCTGAGGCCACTCGTTCCCTTCTTGCACAGCCTGATTATTAGAAACAACTTCTATCAAAGCCTCCTAGCAGCTCTTCCTTGGTCGCAGCCTGCTGCTTGAAGCCAATGGGAAAGAGACCAATATCCCCACGAGCCCCCTCCCACACCTGCTAGTCTGTTACACTGCCCTGGGGGCTGAGCCGCCCGCATCCTCCACCTACTCTGCTAGGCTGTGCACCAGTCCCGCCCACCCCGGGTCCAGCTTGCCGTCCAGGTCCCTCCTCCGACACTGAGTGGCACTCGCCTCCCTCCGTCTGGCTCTGATGCCTGTCCATGCAGCATGCATGTGCACGGCGCTGCATTCTTACCTTGTCCTAGATGTCAACCAGACCCCCTGGCCGTCACACGCAGTGCCACACGGCCCCAGTGCCCGAAGAACGTCCATGGGCCACTCCAGGCTGGGTCTGCCTAGGTCTCCCCCAAGGTGCTGTCCCGCCACCCCATTCCATCACATCTCATTAGTCTCAGCGCTGTGCCAGCTGCTCCGGGTCTCTGGGAAGCTGGCCTCTGCCCCCATGGCCTCAGCACCCATTCCCAGCTGTGTCAATCTGCCCAGCCTGCAGGCCGTGGCCATACCGCATCAGGGACGTGAAAAGTAGGCCTGGGCCAGGACCCCCCAGCTGCCCGGCCCTGGACAGGGGCGCCTGCCATCCGGTCAGCCACCACACCACTGTCCTCCCATAACCCAAGAGTCAGGAAGATGGGCCAGCCTTCCCAGAGCTGCCAGCTACCTCCAAAAGCTGAAAACTGACAGTGTCAGCAGTGGCAGGGCTGGGCTGGTGAGCCCAGGTCCATGTCCACAGCCTCCACCCAGGGCTGGGACTGCCCTGGAGGGGCCTGGGCTGCTCCAAGAGGCACTACTGGAGTCAAAGACGCTCCAGCACCTGGCTTACGGTGCAACCTGCAGCAAGCCAGGGCCTTACCTCTCTGGCCCAGGGTTTCCTCTCTGTCTCGAGAAGAGCAGTGTGCATGGGTCTCTCTGGCTTGCTGGGTGCCCCCCTCCAGCCCTCTGCCACTGCTCCCCCAGGCCACCTGAACTCATCAGGGCCCCATGGCTCCCTGCTCCCAGGGCATCACAGCTATCATTAGTGCCTAACCACACCCAGGCCTCAGCGGAAGAGGCAGCAAGAGGATACAGACTTCTCCAAGGCCTTGGCCATGGCCCGACAGCCTGACAGGAGGCCCGGCCCCAGAACTGCGGGCAGCTCTGAATGGCTAGTCCACGGAGGGCTACTGGCCACCCACTCTCAGCCCACCACCACCAGGCACAGGGAGAGCAGGCAGCCCACCACCAAGGGGACCCTGTGGCAAAGTCCACCCTGATGCCACCCCAGGAGTCACCTCCCAGCTTTCCCGAACCTGCCAGACTATCGAGGGTCTTCCTGCCCACACCTGGCCCTCACCTCACCTCCCCAAAATCCCACCTCCCCACTGACTCAGGCTCCTCTCATCATGCTGCCCTCTCCCCACCTGACCTTTACCCCCTCTGATCCCTGCCTTCACCCCACGTGAACTTTACCCCTTTGACCCCTGCCCTCTCCCCCTTTCACCTTTACCCTCTGACCCCTGCCCTCACCCCACCTGACCCTTGCCCCCTCTGATCCCTGCCCTCACCCCACTTGAACTTTACCCCAACCCCTGCCCTCGCCCCACTTGGCCTGTCCTCCCCGACCTGGCGCAGTGGCAGCCCCTGGGCGCTACTCACCAGTCTCCACTGGACCCGTTTTCACCAGTGCCTGTGCACGCACGGCTGCCTCTGCCTGCATGGCCTCCATTCATTCATTCAATAAACATTTATGGAGCACCTACTATGTGCCAGGCGCCGGCTAGGCCCACCCCCCGGCCCTGCCTCTGCCAGCTGCTCCTCCTCCAGCATCCTGCATGGCCGTTCTGTGCCTTCCCACACCCTCAGGGCTGTCCCCAGGCAGAGCAACAGATCAGGGCCCGTGGGAGAAGGGGGCTCTGGGCAGGGAGCTCGCTGAGCTCAGAGGCTCCAGGGAGGAGCGGACAAGCAAGACAGTTGTCCGTGGGGCCTAGGCACTTCCCAATTCCTGTGTCCACTTAGTCCTCAGCACAACCCTGGAGTCAGAGCTATCACTATCCCCACTTTACAGATGGAGAAACTGAGGTCTTCCGACTGCTACACGGTGGCTTCCCCTCCACAGACAGCAAGCATCAGGCTCTGGCTCACAAGATGCTGGGTTGCACATCAACTTGGGACAAGGATTACATTTTCATGTTTTGTTAGTTGCCAATATTGAAAACTTGGGAGGTGTTATGTTTTTAAATCCCCCTTTCCAGAATAAGCTTGGCTTCCCTGTGTCTGCATTGCGCAGGGCAGAGCAGGGGCCCCATTCCTCACCCTGGCTCCCTGGAGTGTCCTGGCTCCTGGAGACCCACAGAGTGGGAACAGCTGAATCCCCACCTGCCTGGGGATTCCATGAGCCTCCTGTCTGGGGCCTGAGGGGGCCACAATCGTCCCCACCCCACTTCTATCCTGCCTGGTTGATGGCTCTGACTTTTGAGCTCTGGGACACAGCCAGCAGGGGCGTGTTGTTTTTAGGGATCCCTGATTATGAGTCTGGTTCTTGAGAGGAGGTAGGCTGTATCTGTGAATGCTGCTGAGTCCAACCTCTGCGGGGGGGGGGGGTCACAATTCCCCACAGTCTTAAGCTCCCCCAGGCTCTGAGCAGGCCTACAGGGGTGAGGACCCAAAGTCAGTCAGGAGAACACCCCCAGGGACTCCCAGACTTGTCTGGCACTCTTCAGGGCCCACTGCTCCTCTGAACCCCAACAACACTGCCTGGGTCAAGTCTGGGGCTCCTGCTGGGTCTGAACAGGAACGGATGTGGTCTTTGCTGCACTTCTGGCCCCTGAGCCTGGCTGCTGAGCAGAGCCCATGTGGAAGGGCTCTGGGGGCTCTGGGATGGCCCCTGGTTTCGCCACCCCTTGACTCTGGGCTCCCCTCACGCTGCCTGTGCCCCTACTCCTCAACCAGGCCTCAGCACCCTACACCCTGGAGCCCTGTGGGCCAGGCTGAGAAACCCCTCCCAGGACTGCAGCTCCATGACTGTCTCTTCACCACCTCCTACTAGGGTCGGTCACAAGGGGTCAGCATGGAGGCTGCTGGCCAGTGGGAAACCCTCTCCTAGGCCCTGAGACTGTGATGCCCTGGAGGGCGGGAGCCACCCCAAATGGAGACCACAGCTGCAGCTCTCAGAACAAGGAGGCTCTGTCAGGGCCAGGGGCTGCCTCGGTGCCGAAAACACCAGGGGAGGGCCACCGGTGACTCTGGCGGCGGCCGGCTGGGCAGGACAGCGGGCCCTGAATGATGGCAGCTTCAGTGACCACCAACTCCTGGTGGCCAACCCGACTTATGAGCCGCATCCACTCCAATCCGGGCTGTCCATTTAACCTTGGCCCTGGCAAGTCGCCTCCTTCCCCTGAGTCTCAGTTTCCTCTCCCGTAAAATGGGATCGAAGAGCACTAGCTAGAGGGAACAGCCACAGGGTAGGCCCATAGTAACTGCTTATTAAAGTCGGCTGCTGCAGACATCCCGATGTCCCCATCCAGGAGCATGGCACATGCCTGGCACGTGTAGGGCCTCGCTGCAGGGTTTTAACAGTAACAGTGAGGAAGGCTGAGGCCTGGCCCCAAGCCGGGAGCAGCACACCCTTTTGCTTCTGTCCCTGCCCCTCTCTGAGGTCCAGGCCTCTCAAAAGCCTGCTCCCTCCCCCACCTTCAGCCTGTTCCCGGCCTCGGTTTCTCTCCCATTGCCAAAGCACAATGGCTGTTATAATTAACGGATTATCTCAGTGCGACAGCTGTGGTCCTTTGAAAATTAGGTTGAATAACAAGATCCTGATGTATGGTAATTTCTTTTCATCTCTCTCTCTCTCTCTCTCCCTCCCTCCCTCCCTTCAGCCTTGTTATACATGCAAATGTTTTTCCCTCCTTCACAAACACCTTCCCCCTCTGGGGCCTCCTCTTTCTGGGGATGACTTAGGTCCCGGCTTCTGGGAAAAGCCAGGGGCTGGACCCTAGCGCCACCTCCCACAACTCCTGGAATTCGGACTCCCTGGCAGACCTAGGCCCACCACCTTCCTCCTGGAAGTGCTGTCACCCTGACCTGCACCTGGCTTTCGGACCCTGCAGCCCAGCTCACACCTGCTTCCCTGCAACTATCTCAGCCCCTCCCAGGGCTTCTCTATCAGCCTCAAGCTGTCCACACCCAAGCAGCCAAGTCCCCACTGTCCCTGGCTCCCCCTGGCACCTAGAACTCCACCCATCATCCCACCACATCCAGGCCTGGACACCTGGCCCGCTGCCCACCTGCCCCTAACTGCTGGCTTCGCTCCAGCCCCCAGACCATCCACCCAGCGCCCACACCTGGGGTCCACGTGCCAGTGTGCCTGCTCCGGTTTCGCCCCTTTCCACCGCCTCACTGGGCTCTCTGCTTCTGACCCTACAGTCTGACTGCACCCACTCCTCACCCTGCAAGGAGAATCTTTCCACACCCTGAGACCGAGCATGGCACTCCTGGCTGATCCGGGAAAACGCCAATGCTTCCAGAGCCCACCAACATGGTCCTGAAGGAGCTGGCACCTGCCTCCCGCCCTGCCCTCACCTGGCTAGGTTCTCACAGCCCCTGGTCTCCCTCCAGGAATCCATAACTACTGCTTCCTCCAGGGAAGGGCCTGCACCAGGCCCCCAGTAGGTGCTCGATAATGTGTGTTAATGAGGGAACCGAGAGGCCTGACTTTCCTGGTACAGATAAAGAAACCGAGGCCCAGAGTAATTCATGACTTAACGCGCCATCACACAGCTCATCCAAGACAAAGCCAGGATTTGAACCCAGGTCTGTGACGCCAATGCCAGCCCTGCCCACTCCCTGGGCAGGGCCTTGGGTGTCAGCTTTTGCACAGGTCTCAAGGACTTGAGCCCCCCAGCCTCGGTTAGATGATGTGGAGACAGGCTCCCACCCTACACTGTCTCTTGCTCAAGTTCAGCCCTGGCCCAGTGGTGTGACCCTCGGGGCCTCAATCTGCTCATCTGTAAAGTGGGAAGGAGCTCAGGTCCTGCAGAAAGCCAGCCCTGCTAACAACACTGGGGGGTTTCCTACCCTCAACCCCCAGACTCAACTCTGCTAGGCACCCCAGGACTTTGGGGTGGTCAGGGTGGGTGCACTTACAGAGCGTAGACCTCTTTGGCATGGGGGGGGTCAGGGCTCACATCATGGCCTTGGGCAAGAAGCTTCCCTCTCTGAGCCTCAGTGTCCCCCTCTGTGAACGGAGTCCAGCAAATGCCGTTGATGGGGCTGCGTGAGGACTAACACGGAAAGTGGCCAGCTCAGCGCCGACACCGCCATGGCCACACAGCTGCAGGGCCCCAGGGGAACGTACCCCGGGAGGGCAGGGGCTGCACAGGACCACCTGCTTCTGTCTCCCTCAACAGCCTTACATGGCTCCCAACGCCCTACCTTGTGTCTCTCAAGCCCCTCTCTGAGCTCACACCTAACCCTGCCCCTTCATGACCCTGTGAGGTTTCGGGGATGCCCTCTGCCTGGCTTCCATCCTCTGCTTATGCAGATCCTGACCCTGGGGAGCCAATGCCACCTGTAGGGCCCCCCTGAGGTCTCAATCTGACACCACCTCATCCTCTGGGAAGCCTTTGGAGTCGTCCCCTCTTCAGAGTGATGGCCTCCCTGCTCTGTCCCCACCCCTGTGATGCATGCCTGGCTCGTGGAATCCAGCAAGGGTCCTAGAAACCATCTAATCGTCTCACTCCCCCTGGCCTCCTCCCGTTTTACAGGTGAAAACTGAGGCATGGATGAGGAAGAGCAGCTCTCCGGTAAGGCACGGAAACCCTCGTTTCTGCTGCTCCTAGCCCTCCACGCTGCTCCCTCCCAGTGCCAAGCTGTTGGCCCTCGCCAGTCCCTCCACACACCCCCACCCGCAAGCCCAGAGCTACCTGAGGACCGGGCCCCATCTTCCTCACTGCGCCCCCCACCCCAGTGCCTAGCCTAAGGCCTGGCGCATAGTAGGCACTCAGTAAATGTCTGTTGAATTGAATTGCGCTCAGGGCGGCCAGTCGTCTCTGCTCTGTAAGAGAAGCATAGAGTTAGTGGAGCTGTTCCCATGGCGACCGGGACAGGAACCACGCTGGTGGGGTGAGGAGCGTGACCTTCCCCAAGGACCCCTAGGGCCCTGGGGAGGGGGCCTGGGAAGTGGGAGATTCAGACTTCACTGAGTCCAAATTCTGCCCCGGCAGGCAGGCAGCACAGCAGTGTAAGGCACGCCACCCCTAGGGCCACAGTGGCCTCATCTGTCAGGTGGAGATGACACTCCAGTCCCTCGGGTATGAGGACTATGCATGACGAGGACCAGAAGAGACGTGAGACGTTTACTCAGTCTACTCAAGCGCAGAGCTCCGTGCCTGCCGGGCAGGAGACCGCTGGGAGTTACATCCATTCTACAGATGGGGAGACTGAGGCTGTGAGAGGCGGCCAGCTTGCCCATGCCCTCGATCCCATGCTAAATACAGTCTCCGAGGCGTGACAACAGACCCAGACAAAGAAACCGGCCCCCCAAAGGCTGGCCCATATCTGGCAAAGATTCTTCAGGCAAATGGCCCAGCGTGAGCCAGGGGCTGGGAAGGCTAAGGTGAGAAGCCGCATCTGCCTTCCCCATGGGGGTGAGCTCTGAGTCCGCAGCGCCCCCCGGAGCGTTCAAAGCCGACCTCAGATTGCAGACTGCAAAGCCTGAGCAGGCCCTGGCGTTAATATAGATCAGTAAGGACTATAAATACATAGGCAGGTGGCACACCAGGGCCAGTGGTGGGGCAGGCGAGGCAGGCATCCAACCCCAGCCCTGCCCCAAAACCGCCTTCCTCCAGACCTCTGTTTCCTGGCCCGTGACAGCAGGCTGCAACATGGCCACGATTGCTAAGACCCTTCATTCAATGACGGGCTCACAGACCCTAGGGAAGAGTGGGCTCCAGGCCGAGCCAGAGAGCTGGGCAACAGGAGAGAGATCCTAAAGCAGGCTGGGCCTCCCTGGATCTTCCAGGACAGTTACACGTGGGGGCTGGAGCTGCACAGGGACAGGGAAAGAGGCTGGAAGTCATTCATCCATCCATCCATCCATCCACTCATCAGAAACTCTCGGAGTTTCTCCTACTAGAAGCTGAGACCCAACAGCCAAACGACCTGGCCTGGGAAACTTGACCCAGAGCATCAGAGAGATGGACCGGAAGGAGGGTGCCATGCACGGAGCGGACCTGTGCCAGGAAGGGACTGAAAAGAGCCCTCCCAACACCAGCCCACAGGGCCTCGGCCCTGTACACTTAATACACAACAGTGGGTTGTGCCCCCTGGAAACAAGGCTGAGTAGGACAAGGGACACACTCAAGGCCCCCCAGCTAGAGTGGCCCAACGTCCACAGCTCCCGGGCCCGAGAAGACCCCATGTGCCACAGTTTGGAAGCTCTGAGCACTCAAGGAATAACGTGTGCAGAGTCTGGGATCCCCCAAAGGCCAGGCGCAGGGGTGGAGCCGTGCCCCAGTTTCTCACAAAGCTTCAATATGACCCTGAGTGGTAGACAGACCTTTTCTGATGGAGAAACTAAGGCACCAGTAGGCTCCACTCCCCCTGACAGTCACAGGCAAGGGTTGCAGATCTGGCCTTACTAGCGGGTGACCTGGCTGGTGACCTGGCTGGTGACTGGCCCTCCCTGAGCTCCAGTGTCCCCAGGACCCCTCTCCTTTCCCTCATGCAGCTGCTGCAAAGAGCAAAGTGTAGAACTTTGGGAGACCCTCTTACAAACTGTAAAGCACTGTCTCCACTCGAAGTAATTTATTTGTTACTGTCGCACAGATGTGCACAGCAAGCCCAGCCCTGCACAAAGGGCTTGTCTCCTGTCGTCCCCAGGACCCGAAGAGCCAGGAGTCAGGCTCACGCTCCTCCTACAGATGAGGAAGCAGGAACTCACAGAGGATGAGTGACTTGTTCAAGATCACACAGCGAGGAAGTGAGAGCACTTGGCCACGACACTGTGCATTCGCCTGAGTGCCTGTTCAGCTCTCCGTGGCCACCAGAGTCCTTTGCTTCGCGTATGTCCACCTGCTCCTGGTTTATCCAGTGTCCCAGATGTATGCAATATTCATATTTCCATCAGCAGCCGCACAAACCCCCTCACCAAGGCCTCCAGGAGCCCCATTAATCATTCAGACACACCTGCATATTCATTAACTTCCGAATTAATACAGGGTCCCTTATTACTCGGGGCCTGCTGCCTGCATTAAAGATACTTCGACTTCATTCATTATTAAACTCCCCTGATAAATGATCACATCCCTCCTTCACAGAGGGGGGCAGTACCCAGACCCCCAAGTCCACAGGTCTGCTCCCAGCACCTGCTGCTGTGTGACCTTGATCAAGCCCATCCCCTCTCTGGGCTTTCTGCGTGTTTACCTGGGAAAACCTGGCAGACAGTCTCTAAGCACGGTCCAGGCTCATCAGAGTGGCCCTGTCCCATTCTTTGTCACTTTTCTCTGTCTCTCTTGAACTCCCATAATCCCCATGCTTGCTAAGAAGTAGGGGATTCATCCCCTCTCATCCTCTCTCGTCTTCCCCTCCAGCAGCCTCCACTTGCACTGGGGCCTGGGGCTCAGGTCCTTGAACAGCCCATCTCCTCAAGGACCTCATTGGTCCCTGGGCTACCAGGCTCCGCAGACCGCGATGCCTTCCCAATCCAATCAGGGAGGCCAGATCACACCACGGCCACCAACGGTGGACTCCTAGCACCACACAGCAATGACAAAACAGGAACAGTGCACCTGGCACTACTGAGCACACAGCCTGCCCGGGTCTCGTGCCCAGAGAGCCCTTTGGGGAAGCGTCCTGACAACGCCCGTGCTGCCCCTGCCTCCACCCCATTCAGTGCGCAACAGGGCGCCACCACCTTATCACCAGCACACCCGGCCACCCCTCCCACAGGGCAGCCTGAGGCTGTGCTCCCGCCTGCCGGCTGTGTGACTATGGGTCTGCAACCAAACCTCTCTGTGCCTTGGCCAGTCGTCATCATGCCCAGCTCCTCCCCTTGTCCCTCGTCTCCTCTTCTCCCTGACCCTGTCCCAGCCACACACCCGAGGAGTCCAGGCCCTGATGTCTCTGGTCTGGACAGCAGCGTCCGCCTCCCTGGGCCTCGCAACTCTGGGCCCCGCCCCCCAACACTGCTGTGCGCCCACTAGACCCATGCTCCCAGAGCCCTTCCAAGAAGCTTCCTCAGTCCCCAGGTTAAAGCCAGAGCCCTTGCCCCAAGCTGTCCCCTGCCCTCCTCGTTAGCTTCTGTCCCACCCTGACTTCAGGCCGCGAGGCCGGCGTACTGGGGCCCAGCTCCCATGGGCATGATGGGGAGCAAAGCCCGGCAGAGCGGTGGTGACCAGGGTCACTGGAGGAAGCACTCACTTCGCCCTAGACCGGCTGCTGCAGGCACAGCCCCCACTCGGCAAGGGGAGGTCTCCAGACTCTCTTCTCAGATGAGGAGACTGAGGCTCCGAAAGACCAAGGGGCCTCCCCAGGACAGGGCGGGGATGCGGAGGACTGAGGTTCCCTCTCAACGTCCACTAGGAAAGGCCCAGCGGGAAGTCCAGAGCACCGAGCTGACCACACACTCGCCCCTGAAACCGTGGACTCCTAGGAAACCTCCAGAGCCAGGAAGCCACGTGGCCAAGGACACACAGGGAGGCAGCCAGGAAGCTTCCACCCTGGGGTGACCCTCCCCACCCCTCTGCTCAGGGTGAAGAGCACCCCAGAGCTAAGCCTCGGCCTCCTCCTCAAAAGGATGGCACGGCGGTCATGTAAGCAATGGCAGTGCCCAGGCCCACGGCCTTGCTCACACCTACCCTGGCCTTGACGTACACAAGGAGTCAGAGGGCGGCAGGGTTTCAACAAGGGCTGGGAGGCCCAGGGCAGGGGCAACAAACAAGAGGCAGGGTCCCGACTGCTGCCACAAGAGTGCCACATGGCTGGTCCCCAGACACCGCCGCTGATGATCCCTTGGGGTGGCTCAGGACTCCAGAGGACCTGCAGCCTTGCAAGAGGGTGGGGACCTGGAGGACACACAGCCTCCCTACCAGAGGGTCCACAGCTAACCAGCCTGTGGCATAGACCACAATGACAAGGACTCGGACAAACAGACCTGACACAAACGTACTTCAGAGCTCTGCAATTAAGCATGCTCCCCTGTGAGGTATTTTATTCAATAAATAATGGATCTAGTTTCTCTAATAAAAAAAAATCCCAAATTTGGGCCAGTTGTGGTCGTGTCCACCTGTAATCCCAGCACTCTGGGAGGCTGAGGCAGGAAGATTGCAAGTCTGAGCCCAGCCTAGCCTGAGCCCAACAGTGAGTTAGCAAGACCCTGTCTCAAGATGAAGAGTTAAAAAAAAAGAACTGGGGCATAGCTCAGAGCTAAAGTCCTGGGCTCTATCCCTAGAACCATTAAAAAAAAAAACCCAAATTCGCAGGCTGAGTTTGCTTAAAGTAAGGACATGCTCCTGGCTTTCTGGGTGGCTTCCGAACTGCACACCCAGTGTGAGCGCAGAGACAGGGTCCACAACTTCACCCCAGCCCGTGTTCTCACCCCACGGCCCCACCGTGGGGCCCACTTGCAGAAGGGCTCTGTAACTGCTGTAACCACCGTGCACACAGGCCCTCAGACAGGGTCGGAGCCATCGGCATCCCTAGTGTCCCCCTCACGTGCCCCAGCTCTGCATAGCCCCACACGTGCCCCTGATACCTGTGTCTTCTCCCCCAAGCCCTCCCTCCCCACTCAGGCAAGGCCAGCTCCGTGTGCCTGGAGCTCAGTCCACAGACTGCAGCTTCATCCTCAACTCCTGCCTCCCCCGGGGAAGACGATGCTCAGACCTCCTCTGCCACCAGGTCCTGCCACTTTGGTCTCCGTACAGGCTGCCACATTGCTCCTCTGAAGGCTGCCCATGGTGACTTCTGTCTTTCCCAGCAGCCAGAAGGATCCCTGGGGGTGGGAGAAGTGGCTGGGCCTGCCTCTCCTGCTCAAAATCCGACCTGGGATCCCATAGC